AAATTAAAGTTCGAAACAGTTTTACTATAAAAACAGCAACCTTAATGATGTGTGAAAAAAGTTTAAACGATGGGTAAGTATAAGACCAATTTCGAGAAACATGCTGTGGGCGTCTAGTGGTCTTCAAATACAATGAATTGCAGGCCACTCACAGGCTGAAATATTCCCAGAAGCTAATGCTAATAGGCCAATAACGGGTGGGAGTTGATTTCTACGATACTTGCAGTCTCAAGAATCATGGAATATGTATCATAGTATAGTATATGTATCTTAGTATTCTTTTGCTGCTTCCTTCGCAGAGGCATTTATGGCTTCGCCACGCGTGACGACGCCCTAAACAACGTCCGAACGAGAGGCTATATCCTTATGAGCTGCAACACAGTAGGCCCCACCTCATGGCACCAACGACGACCCATCCAAAAGCTTGAGTGCTATGCACCACTGCCACACACCTAGACTTTAAGGCGCCTAGAGCTGTTGTATGAAGAAGGTCTTCTTCCTTATTACTGCAAGCATTCAGTGAAAGACAAGACAAACTTAAAAGCAGGTGACACACGTACACCAACCCACCTCCTGGCCAGTTTGTCTTACTGGATTTACTGGCGCACAGATCGGCAAAATGCTAATCCGCCTTCCCAGCGCATGCCGTGGGAGACCTGCCGTGCAGTTTCCAGCCAACAGCTCCCATACGTGTTGTGTTGAGCTGACGCTTAAAGGAGTACTTTATACTTGCCTTGGCAGGAAAAGGCCTTTGAACACGTGAGCCCTAATAAGGGTGAACAGCTTTTCATGGCTGCCTCGACCTTGGTGATACGGCTGTGCGCATGCGTTAGGAACTGGGCGGGCCAGTTTTCAATTTTTTTTTCAATTTCCTTAAAATTCAGATCACGACGAAAGGTATTTTTAGATCGATTATCGAGGAAGCGTAGCGAAGGGCTGTTAGTGTATTTTAATGTGTTCAAAACGCCAGTTTCAAAACGTATGTTCAGGGAATTTGTGTAAAATAAATACTAAAAATACAACGTCAGGTAGTAGAGTAACTAAGCATCCATTAATGTGGCTCTTAGCTTTTCTAGCCTCGGCCACGAGGAAATTTTTGTGCTCCTGAGGAACAGTGATCACGCTCTTGCGATCCAGAGCGTGGGAAAGTTTTTCATTTATGAACACTATGATTTGTCACCACTTGTAGTTCTGTTTTTTCTCTGTAAACTGTTTGAAGCAGCTCTAAAACTGTTGAAAATATAGTTGAAAAAGCGTCCTTAATGCTAATTTTACTAATGTTTTCTTTGGCAATACGATCATAAAGTGCACAATTTGTCAGTTAAACTCGAGCGCAGCTGCTTTCAAGCAATTAAGCCCAGGCTTAGCAGATAAATATGAGGTAAAAAGAAGTGCATATTCATCAAGTGTACATAAAACATGCAGTTTTTATAACATTTGCTTTTCGATCGAACAAAAAATGGGAAATTATGAAACCAAGAGTCTAGACTAAACTATAATGGGTTCTTCTTCAACAAAAACATAAGACTTGTTACTTCTTCTACCGCCTTTGATTATTTAGGAACTTCTGTACTTGCTGGCTCTAATAATATTGCTCGATAACGTTGTGGCACTTCACAAGAAACCCCAATCCCCGCTTAACTCATATCAATACCTGAGAAGTCTTTTGCGATTAGCTATAGGAGCGGTTTATTAGCATATATGGAACCTTCGAATCATTTACTTGGTGACTGTGACGATTTCCTATTATAAATATCACCTTAAGGGGGGTTAAGTTTGGGTTGTCCAGTCTAACTAAGAATTAATAGGTTCTTCTTCAACAAAAATAGAAGGCTTGTTACTTCTTTTACTCCCTTTGATATTTACGAACCTTCTGCCGGTGCTACAATTATATGTGGCACTTTACAAAAAACCCCACTCCCCCGCTTAACTCACATCAATACTTGAGAAGTCTTTCGAGATTGGCTAAGAGCAGCTTATTAGCATATATGGAACTTTCGAATCATTTACTTTGTGAAAAAGATTTCCTGTTTTAAATATCACCTTAAAGGGGGTTAAGGTTGAGTTGTCCTGTAAATAGAAAATAAGGAGAGCAAACAGAGAGAACAAAGTATTGGCTTCTAAACAGAATTTAAACAATGAGAGCGAGGAAGGTACTAAAATAACAGTTTGAAAATCATGTCAGATCAATTAGTCGATCTACCGAACCTAGGTGTTGAGCATTTTTTATTGGCTAAACTTTGCAATTAATTATTTATGAATGTGTGATTACAAATTAAAAATGCAATACGTGCTGAACAGCAGAAGTTAAAGCAATAGACAGACAGTTAAGAGTCACTAGGAGATATTTCATACCATTATTATTATTCGAATTTATATCGTTAACATTTCCCTTAAATTTTCAGTTAATAAATTTTCCCTTGCATGAACGAATACTTTTGTACTTCTCCTGCCCAAGCCCCTATAACGTTTCTAACGGTCCGCGGCCGAGTTTTATCCCAAACTCTTACAATACGTCGCCTATGCTGTCATTTCTCGCACTCATATATTAAAACCTTCTCAGAGTGCTGGAGTACACTGATAGTCATGATATATGATATATTTGCGAGCCAAACTGAGCACATTTTTGCGATCTACGCCCGAACAAAAGAACATTTTATAAGTCTTTTAAGAGCTTTTAGGTAATCAATTACTGCTACATATTAAAAAGAAAATCGGGTTGATAGCACAGTACGCGTTAGACATAAACATGGTGACATCAAAGTATAGCCAAAAACTGCACGAGAAATGCATAGACCTGTCATGTAGCTACGGTGAGACTGAAACGATTCTCGGAAAAGATAATCGAAAATGCGTGCTTAACACCATTTTTAAACAGGTGTGTGAAATGTTATCGTTAGCAATACGATCATAAAGTACACAATTTTGCAGGTAAACACAGGAAGCACGGTATAGAAGCTGCCTGCCGTTAAGCAATTAACAGGCCTAACAGGAAAATATGAGGCAAAAATAAATGCCTGGTATCACGTGTGCATGAAGCAGCCAGTGTTTATATCATTTACTTCTCGATCTATCTAAAAACGGGAAATTCGAAAAGCAGGAGTCTGCTGTCGGGCAAAGGGAAACTAGCAGGTTCTTACTCAACAAATAGACGAGGCTTGTTCCGCCTTCTTTGACTGCTTTTAATTGTTACGAATTGTTGGTTACAATTTTATCGCTCGATAACGCTGTAGCAATCATGAATTTATAATGACCAGAGTGACTCAAACGCTTTAAAACTAATATCAATGCTTGAGTAGGTCTTGTAATTGGCTAGGAGAAACTCATTAACATTGAACCTTCGAGTTATTTACTTTGTCAAATCGATTTTCTGTCTTAAATTTCACTTTCAAGCTTGGGTTGTCCAGTCAATATAAAACCAAGGAAAGCAAAGAGAGAGAACAAAGAATTGGTTTCTAAACAAAATTTAAACAATATCATACAGTAACCACTGAAGAGCATCCCCTTTTGTATAGCCCGCGCAAATGAAATCGAACGAAGGACTTTTTTGGAAGTCTGTTGCTTGCATTTTCATCGCTTAACAGTATTATGTAAATACCAGGATTGTATTTTTTATGAAGTTATTATTATTATTATTATTATTATTATTATTAAATTCTTCACTAGTGTAGAGCTGTTAGTTTATTCTAATGTGTTCAAAACGCCCATTTGAAAACGTATGTTGAATTTGCGTCAAATAGATAGCAAAAATACAACGCCAGGCCAAGAACATTTTTAATGTGGCTCTTAATAATAAGCCCCACGTGGAAGTCGTAAAAGAGTCATCAGGGAGTCTTGTGGGCAAGAGCGCAGGAAATTTTCTCATCTACGAACGATAACAGTTTATCACTATTGTAGTTTTGTCTCTTCTTGGTAACTCGTTTGAAACAGTTCCAAGACTGGATCGCCCGCCATTGTCTGTCGCCCTCTGTACAACGCAGTATATACATCGAGGCCATCATTTAAGTTTCAAACGTTTTAAACTTCAATGTTTGTCCCCTTTGCGAGGCCTTAGCACAATAATTGTCATTAAGACCGACATGGCCGTCCTTTCAAGCTGAACAGACAATGGATGCTATTTTAAAGCCATTGTGGTTGTATTTAGAAATCGATTGAAAAGATATTTGGAAACCAATATGAGTGTACATTATAAAACTTGTGTGGTACTTATTATTTGCATGTAGAAATACACCCATTAGGTATTTAAACATAGGTGATCAAAATATATCAAGCGAAAAAATGTCTTTAAAAACATTTCAAAGGGCAGTATCATTTGATTGATTTTGTTTAAAAGACAACACCTTGCCGCTTAAACTTCCTGTTTAACGTTTTTGGTTCCTGTATTTTTTTTTGCAATAGGCGAACGGCATACGTGCAACAAAAACATGCGGCTTTTTTTCTTTGCTCAAGTTCTTTTGACGACCTAAACATTAGTGTCAAACCTTGGGGTGGTGCTAAAATTTCAACAGAGGTTTAGAATTGTCCGCTTTATTCCTTCCTTTTTTTCGGCAGAACCTTTTCTATAACTTCGCGGTTCTGCAGTAATTAAGAGTTCTTAGTTGTACAGTTGTACTTCACCTGCCTACGCCCCCAATAACGTTTCTAATGGTCCGTCCCTGAGTTTTATTTACCGCCCAATCTTTAACAATACGTGGCCTAATTTATATGCTGTCACATTTCGTAGTCATGCCAGACTTAATCCTCAGTTAAGTACGTCAACGGCAGTGGTGGTGATTTTTTATTCGCGAGTGTTCCACGTACCTCTAAATCTTAACATACTCAGTCAAAAGCACATTTTTGCGACTTATCCCTGTACAGGACAACATTTCATGAGTCTTCTAAGACCTTTTCGATAATTACTACTAAAAATACATTGATCAGTAGTCATGATACATTTATTCGCGAGTGTTCCACCAACCTCTAACTCTTAACATCTTCAACCAAAAGCACATTTTTGCGACCTACGCCTGTACAAAAGAACATTTAATGAGTCTTTTAAGAGCTTTTCGGTAATTACTGCTAAACAGAAAACAGATAACTGGGTTGATAGCACAGTACGTGGTACCCATAAAAAAGGTGACTGTGGCGTATATCGAGAAACTACACGAGAAATGCGTGTCCTGATACGATATGATTAAAGCGTTGATAGAGTAAGGTAACCAGCAAAGCCCCAACACTGTTACGATGGCAATGGACATTTGAAGCACGTTTCGGTTTCTTCTGTCCCGCTGTTGCTGACTGTTGGCGGACTGTTCACCTGGGTGTGCCTGTGTCTTGACCTTGATAACAATGATGGAGTAAAGAATGACTAGCAACAGCACTGGTATGTACGTAAACAGAATGGAGAAAGCTAGTAAGAAACTGGCACTGGACGATGACTCTGCGAATGCTTTCTTCCATTTCGTAACACACCAGTTTCCCTCTGGGTATTCAACGAGCTGGTAAGCGAACAATAATGGCGAACTGACCGCTGCGGCAACTATCCATGTAGCGAGAATGAAGAAAGGACACAGCTTGGATCTGATGAGTGGGGAACGGAGTGGAAACGCCACGGCTCCAAATCGATCCACTGCTATCAGAATGAGATTCTGAATCGAAACGGCAATGGAAACGGTAGAAAAGAAAGGGGGAAGCTTACACAAGGCCTGACCAAGCTGACCACCGATAACAAACGAGTTGGCGTGCAAGAGTGACAGGTTCCAAGGTATCCAGAATATTGGATACAGCAGATCAGATGAGGCCATGTTTGCGATGAAAAAATTTATCGGTTTTCTTAAGTTCGGCGTTTTATAAACGATCATAACAATGAGAGAATTTGCGACCAGTGAAACGATAAAGATCAGACAGTAGGTAACGGTTCCTCCGATTTTCCACACAGTAAAATTTAAGCAGGTCCAAGATCCGCTGGAGCCGTTCGCCGTTGAGTTCATGCTTAGCTTTGCAACGTATCTACAGAGTCGTACACATGCAGTCAAGTAACTTTGAACTGTATATTGCGTATCCTGTGTGAGTCAGAACTTTTATTGACAATTGTAAGCCCCCTGCGAAGCCACAGCACAGCTGTCCTCTGAGGCCTTCAAAAAGTGACTTTGTATTGTAAATTTCCGGCATTATCCGCCGACTCGACAGAAACAGTGGGGTATTAGTATGTTATAAACCAACCAAAAGACTTCATTTAGGTCAGGTGGTTGTATAAAGAAATCGATTGAGAAGATGATTAAACAAGTGTGTTTTAACACATTAAAAAATGATATCTATGGTAGTACCATCATCAACTACACAAGTTTGACAGTTGACCACAGGAAGCAGAGGCGAAGCTGCCTTCAGGCCATTAAGCACAGGCTTAACAGGTGAATATGAGGAAAAAATAAGTGCATATTATCACGTGTGCATAAAACATGAAGTTTTTGTAACATTTACTTCTCGATCAACCTATTAATGGGAAAACCAAAAGTCTGCTGTCGGCAAAGAGAAACTGGCACGTTTTTCTGACAAGGGCTTGTTACTCCTTTGACTGCTCAGTTTTTGCGTCACCGGTTTGGGGGGCTTATATTTGGAGGGGCTTATACATGGAGGGGCTTATTTTCGGAATTTTACGGTACTTACTTTGTCTGAAAGAAATTCTTTCCTAATTGCTCCTTGACGCTCTTTAAAAGCTTGGGTTGTCCAGTCGAAATAACACAAGGAGAGCAATGAGAGAGAACACAATACTGGCTCCTAAACAAAATTTAAACAATAACAGAGAGGAAGGTACTAAAATTACAGTTTCAAAATCATGTCAGTTAGTCGATCTACCGGAAGGTATTAATCGAAAATAATTGGCTAGACTTTTGTATCAATTAATTATTAACTACGAATGTGATTGAAGGACAAATTAAAAAAGGCAATATACGTGCTGAACAGCAGAAGTTACAACAGTAGATGTCAATCTTCACAAATACACTTAAGAATAACTAGGAGATATTCCATATAATTATTATTATTCGTATATCTTTGTTTAAAAATCATCAACTGCTTATTGATCGATAAAAAGGAAAAAATAGTGCACTAGCTACAAACACCATAAATAAGGAGCATAGATAATTAATTTTCTTTTAATTCAGATCACGACCAACGGTATTTTCGATAGGTATTTTTCCCTAGAAAGTGTAATTTATTCACACAGGATATATATGTTTCATTACAACAAATTCATGACAAGAGAAGGTTTCTTTTGATCACTATTTCAGACTTTGAGGTTGCAGCGTAAATCACATACTCAATTTATCACTAGTCGGTAATTCTGTCTTTTCTCCGTAAACTGTTTGAAGCAGCTCCAAGACTGTTGAAAATGTAGTTAAAAATACGTGCTTAATGCAAATTTTACTAAACACTGGTGTGTGAAAAGTTATTTTCATTAGCGGGGAATCTTGTTGTCAAGGGCGCGGGAAATTTTTTCATCTGCGAACACTAAAAATTTATCATCACTGTAGTTTTGTCTCTTCTTGGTAAATCGTTTAAAACAGTTCCAAGACTGGATCGATCCATTCCCCATTGTCGAGTTTATGTTTGTTGTGCGCCTTCTGTACAACGCAGTATATCCGGTATATTGATCAGTTAAGATCCAAATTTTTGAAACTTAAATTTCTATGTCCCCTTGGGAAGCCTGAGCACAATCCTGAATTGTTATTAAGACTGATATGGCCATCCTTTCAAGCTGAACAGACTAAAGAATGCTATCAGTTTAAAGCCATGGTGGTTGTATTTAGAAATCGATTAAAAAGATATCTGGAAACCAATATGAGTATATATAATTATTGAGTGGACATTTTAAACTCTGGTGATACATATTATTGCTCGTAGAAATACGCCCTTTACGTATTTAAACACAGGTGACCAAAATTTATAAAGCGACAACAACATTTCAAAGGGGCATTATCATTTAATTGATTTTGTGTAAAAGACAACACCTTGCCTCTTAAACTTCCTGTTTAAATTTTTGAATTGTATTTTGCAGTGGACGCTGAAGGGCGTACGTGCCACAAGAAAATGCATTTTTTTCTTTGCTGCTTTTGACAACGAAAAAATACTCTCAAACCTTTTGTCCCTTTTATTCGTTTCCTTTTTACGGCAGAACCTCTTCCTTTAACTTAGCGGTTCTGCAGTAATTTACAGTTGTTAGTTGTACAGTTGTATATCGCCGCGTACGCTTCCAATGACGTTTGTAATGGTCCGTTTCTGAGTTTTATTTACGACCCAGCCTTTAACAATACGTGGCCTATGCTGTCACATTTCGCAGTCATGGGAGACTTAAACTAAACACATGTTATCATTAATCCTCAGTTTTAAAACAGGGGCACACAACGATAATTTGTGGAAAATATCTGTTCGGAAGACGATTTGGTATCTAGAAATTTCGAAACAGTTGTTGTAAAATTTCTTGCTTGCCTGCCTCTCCTCCTAGGATTTTCGAACCCCCCAAAAATCGTATAATTGCCCATTTTTAACGGATTGTTACCCTAAAAAGGTCACCTAGAATTTTCGGGAGCCTTTTTTCTGGCTGAAATTTTCGAAAAGGTAAGTTTTGATCTCTATAATTTTCGGATCACTAGACTTTCAGCTAGGAAATCCGAACAGATGAAATATTTTTAGTGGATGAAAATATGCCTATATCTACCGTTTAAATACTAAAATACGTTCAACAATGCCATGTTTAAGTGGTTTTGAACTATATTCTCGTTGGATGCCCCTGTTTAAAAGTGTGCCGACGGCAGTCGTGGTGATTTTTTATCCACGAGTGTTGCACGTACCTCTAACTCTTAACGTATTCTATCAAAAGCACATTTTTGCGACTTATGACTGTACAAAAGAACTTTTAATTTTCATGAGTCTTCTAAGATTTTTTCGATAATACTACTAAAAATAAACTGATAGTCATGATCACTTTTATTCAGGCGCGTGTTCCACGAAGCTCTATCTCTAAACATTATCAACAAAAAGCACATTTTTGCGACCTTAGCCTGTGTACAGACGTCCCCCCTCCCTCAGAAATTATGCGACCTACGCCTTTACAAAAGAACACTTTATGAAAGGAAATCTGTGGTACAGTCCGCCTGCCAGTATGACGTCACGTCTCGCGTCAGTGACTTTCAAAATGGCGAGCAAAGTGTTCATCAAAGAGAAGGATAAAAATTTCGATTTTATCACGGAAATACTGTTCTGATTTCTTGGATTTGGAGATCTTAAGGTTTCTATGGTCTAGAAAACTAGAATTAAGTACCTTTTTGTAATGAAATGTCCAGTGTTGTAATAAATTTTAAAGATTCCTTTCTATCGTCGAGCAAATTTTACGGGCAGTCACAACAACCGGTCACACTTTTGAGGGCCAGTGCACAGCAAGACTGAGGAGTTTAGACACACCGATAGGAGGTTCATCAAAGGATGTATTATACTTTACATTGTGCGTATTTTCAGCTCTTCAGATCTAGTGGAACCCCATATCATTCCTCTCAAAGTTTTCTTAGCTGTAGCGTTGAAAGACGAAGCTAAATGACAGGTATTTGTGAGAGCCTGTGAGCACTGAATCTTGTTGCTTTACCGCATTTTAATGCTGTATTAGGCATACACCTGTAATTTTGTAATTAAATCCCGAAAACCAATAAAAGGTTACGTTTAATTATTTTTTGTCGGCAAACCCAGTGGAGATTTTAGGGTAATAATACTGACGATTACGACGATGTGCAAAAGGCAAGTTTAACTTTCGTCTGAGGGTCACTGGTGGGTAGGTGTTGGATGTAAATAAGTACATTTTGTGGTGTACTGTGTGTTGATTGTCATGATGTCAACTAACGTCGAAAAAAAATTCAGCTGTTTTAGAGGAGGGACATTTCTTGACAGCTTATGGTATTTCTCTGGTCATAAGCTTGGCCAGTATGCAGGTCAAGAGCTTTTAAATCCCTCTTCCAAGATAAAACTCCGGACTTGAGCTTAAAATATACGTTGATCCAAGTGCATGACCAGCACGCCAGCACGGTCAGCAGTAAGAATAAAGAAAAAAAAGGCCAAAAGGAAAAATAGTGTTAAAATAGAGACCAAACAGAAAACTTAGGTGGAAAACAATAGAGTTACCTTCCCCCCTGCCTTTAAGAGCTTTTCGGTAATTACTGCAAATCATGAAACAGATAAAAATGGTGACTTCATAGTATATCCAGAAACTACACGAGAAATGCGTGATGGAACTGTGTTGATACAGTATGATTAAAAAGTTGATAGAGTGAGGTGACCAGCAAAACACAAACACTGTAATGATAGCGATGGACATTTGAAGCACGTTTCGGTTTCTTCTTTCCCGCTGTTGCTGAGTGTTGGCGGACTGTTCACTTGGGTGTCCTGTGTCTTGAGCTTGATAAAGAAGTTGGAGTAAAGAATGGCTAACAACAGCACAGGGATGTATGTAAACAGAATGATGTAAGCTAGTAGCAAACTGGTACGGGACGTTGACTCTCCGAATACTTTCTTCCATTTCGTAACACATAAGTTTCTCTCTGGGGATTCAACGAGCTCTTTGGCGATCAAGTATGGCGTAGAGATTGCTACGGCAACTATCCACGTGGCAAGAATGAAGAAGGGACACAGCTTGGATCTGATGAGTGGTGAACGGAGTGGAAACACCACGGCTCCAAATGGAACCACTGCTATAAGAATCAGATTCTGAATCGAAACCTTAAAGGAAACTTCTCCAAAGAAGGGGACAGGCTTACAAAAGGCCTGGCCATGCCGACCACCGATAAGAAACGAGGTTGTGTGCAAGTGTGACAGTGTCCAAGGGGTGAAGAATATTGGAAACAGCAAATCAGATGTGGCCATGTTTGCGATGAAATAATTTATCGGTTTTCTTAAGTTCGGCGTTTTATAAACGATCATAACAATGAGAGAATTTGCGGCCAGTGAAAGGATAATGAGCAGAGTGAATCATAAAGTAGGTTACATCAAAGTATATCTGGAAACTACACGAGAAATGAGCAGAACTATCCTGATACGCTATCATTAAATGGTTAGTACTAAAAGGTAACCAGCAAAGCACAAACACTGTTACTATAGCAATGGACATTTCAAGAACGTTTCCGTTTTTTCTTTTCCGTTGTTGCTGTTTGTTGGTCGACTGTTTACCTGGGTGTGCTTGTGTCTTGAACTTGATAAAGATGATGGAGTAAAGAATGATTAACAACAGCACAGGGATGTATGTAAACAGAATGTTGTAAGCTAGAAGCAAACTGGCAAAGGACGAGGATTCTCCGAGTACTTTCTTCCATCTCCGTACACACCTGGCTCCCTCCGGGTATTCAACGAGCTCGAAGGCCAACAAATCTTTCGAAATAAAAACTATGGCAAACATCCACGTGGCAAGAATGAAGAAGGAACACAGCTTGGCTCTGATGAGTGGCAAACGGAGTGGAAATAGCACGGCTCCAAATCGATCCACTGCTATCAGAATCAGATTCTGAGTCAACATGACAATGGAAACGTTACTAAAGAAAGGGACAAGCTTACACAAGGCCTGACCAAGCTGACCACCTATAAGAAACGAGTATTTGGTGTGCAAGTTGGACAGGCGCCAAGGTATCAGGAATATTGGATACAGCAAATCAGATGAGGCCATGTTTGCGATAAAATAATTTATCGGTTTTTTTAAGTTCGGCGTTTTACAAACGATGATAACAATGAGAGAATTTGCGACCAGTGAAACGATGATGATCAGACAGTAAGTAACGGTTCCTCCGATTTTCAACGCAAAAAATTTTAAGGAGTTCCAAGATCCGCTGGATCCGTTCGCCGTTGAATTCATGTTTAACTTAGCAACGTACCTACGGAATTGTACACATGCAGTCAAGAAACTTTGAATTACTGCTCTGTATATTGCGTCCAGTCCTGCCGAGCTTAGACTCGACTGACTGAAGAGGGACTTCTCGCAGTCTAGCACAGTACGCGTTAGACATACAGCTATTTCGAGAAAGGCCGTTTCGGAAAAAGTGCAAGCGAAAATCCCGAAAAGTATTGTGGGTAATTTTGAGTTCTGACTGTTCTTTAAAGAAATTTGACGGGCCATAGACGTATGTTTGCGAGTGCTTAAGGAGAGCAACCAATGAAAGTAGGTTCGACAGCTACGGTGTCAGGAACAGTGTATTGATCATATACCATATTACCTTCTCGGGATTGTCGCATGCACATGTTTTCAGACAGCCTTTCTCGAAATAGCTGCATACATGGTAACATCAAAGTACAGCCTGCGTGTACCTGTCATGTAGCTACGGTGAGAAAACGATTGAAAAGAAAATCGAAAATACGTGATTAATGCCAATTTAAACAGGTGTGTCAAATGTTATCTTTAGCAATACGATCATAAAGTACACAATTTGGCCGGTAAGCTGCCACAGGAAGCAGGGGAGAAACTGCCTGCCATTAAACAATTAACAGGCTTAACAGGAAAATATGAGGCAAAAATAAATGCCTACTATCATGTGTGCATGAAGCAGGCAGTTTCATTTATATCATTTATCTCTCGATCGAACTAAAAACAGGTCTTTATAAAATTAGGAGTGTGCTGTCGGCAAAGGGAAACTAGCAGGTTCTTACTCAACAAATAGACGAAGCTTGTTACTTCTTTGACTGGTTTTAATTGTTACGAATTGTTGGTTACAATTTTAGCAGTTGATAACGCTGTGGCAATCCTTTTTATAATGACCAGAGTGACTCAAACGCTTTCAAACTCATATCAATGCTTGAGTAAGTCTTGTAATTGGCTAGGAGAAACTCATTAACATTGAACCTTCGAGTTATTTACTTTGTCAAATCGATTTTCTTTCTTAAATGTCACTTTCAAGGTTCGGTTGTCCAGTCAATATAAAACCAAGGAAAGCAAAGAGAGAGAACAAAGAATTGGTTTCTAAACAAAATTTAAACAATATCATACGGTAACCACTGAAGAGCATCCCCTTTTATGTGGCCCTCGCGAATGAAATCAGACGAAGGACTTTTTTGGAAGTCTATAACCTCCGTTGCTTACAATTTCATCGCTTAAATCAGTATATGTACATACCAGGATTGTATTCTTATGAAGTTATCATTATATTCATTATCATTACTATTACTAGGAGTTCTTCACTAGTGTAGAGCTGTTAGTTGATTCTAATGTGTTCAAAACGCCCATTTCAAAACGTATGTTGAATTTGTGTCAAATAGGTAGTAAAAATGCAACGACAAGAACATTTTTTAAATAAATGTGGTTCTTAGCCCCACGAGAAAGTGTAACTTGGGGACCGTTAAAGAGTGATCCGGCAGGGGGTCTTTTAATCAAGAGCGCAGGAATTTTTTTTTTTTAACTACGAACACTAGCAATTTATCACCATTGCAGTTCTTTCTTTTCTCGGTAAACTGTTTGAAGCAGTTCCAAGACTGGATCGATCCATTCCCCACTCGCGAGTTTTATGCTCGCTGCTCTCCTTCTGTACAACGCAATTAATATTCACCGCGGTAATCAGTTAAGATTCAAACTTTTCAAACTTTGATTTTTATATCTCCTTGAGAAGCCTGAAAACAATAGTTGTTATTAAGGTGTTTCGATACAGTTTTTCAGAGGCCATACCGGTATTTTTTAATCGCCTTAAAAGGGAATGTTTTCCTTGTCCTTTCGCTATAAAATTTTCACCAGTAATTGGGTATGGATTGAAATGTGTGTAAAATCGATATTAATATGACAACAATAAAATTGATAACAACCGAATTTTTGTGATCTAGACCAGCTACTGAAAATCCAACACTAGGAACTTAAAGTTTGGTGTTTAGCAAACAATCTCTGCACTATAATGCGCACTTTACATACCTCCATGACTAGTACATTTTAGTGTAAATTTATCGCATCTTTTGAATGTAAGACATTGACTATACTCACACTGAAATTTTCTAGTCATGGATATATGTACTGTCCGCATTAATTTGGAAAAATTAGCATAACGTCAAAACAGTGAATGTTGTAGCGCGGATTTTTGGCCGGTTAGTAGGATAGGTTTGTCTTGAAATTTCAAGGTGTTGCAGTGAATCAATCTCAATGAAAGTTTCTGTCAGGCATTATTATATACAGTATGAAGATTATGTGAGGCGATTTTAAAAAAATTCGTTCGAGTTGAAAAAAGTCGTTTCAGAGATATACAAGAAAGCGCTGAAAGTCCAAATTTTGAATGAAGCTACACTTAGACAGGTGGTGAGAAAACGGGTTAGTTTTAAAGATACCAAGATCGAAAATACACCAAAATGTCCTAGCTTCGAAATATGATATTAAGCAGGATTATGACGCCACTTAAGAATAATTTGAGTCATTTATAACGTTTATATTAACGTTTATTATTATGAATGCTATTTTAAATTAAAGCCATTTGGATAACCAATTAAAGTGGACATTTTAAACTGGTGTGATACATATTATTTGCATGTAAGAGATAAAGCTCGAGAACGTCGGTATTAATCCATATACATCCCGAGGGCCGTAGGCCCTCGGGATGTATATGGATTAATACCGACGTTCGAGGGGTTTATCTAACTTATTTCATGATATTATTCATGAGGTATAGGTAACATAAAGGTCGTCTTTCACGGGGCAATAACTGGCCACTTGTTTTTGACATCTGTTTGCTTGTCATTTTTTGATCCGACCGCAGACAATGACGTATTTCATTGTAAGTATTGTAAAGGTTTTCACACAGCATCGAGAGAGGGAGTTTCACGGGTCATAATTTGTTCAAACCACTTGTTCTCACTTAGGTGAGAAACGGAGAACAATAGCGCATTGTTTGTTTGCTAAGCCGGCAACAATCAAATTTCAAACCTTTTGTGTTTTTATTTTTGTCTTGGTATTTTTTGGGGGGCCAGTACACTTTCTCTCAGGAGCCTTTTTCCCCTGAGTTGAATTTGGAAGAGTTAGTGGGAGACTTTAGAGAAGTAAGCGAACGAGATAGTGTTGAAGTCGAAAAGAAAGAAAATCCTGGGCGTAATATCGTTGTTGTTTGTGATAACGAAGTCGAGAAGAGAAGAGAGTCCAGAATACCGGCAAACACGAAAGTTAATACTTCATGGGCGGTACGTTGCAGGGAGGAATGGGCCCGTCGAACGCAATGTGAAAGTTAAAAAGAATAGCAGCAAAGAGAAATACTACGAAGTCAATCCTGACATTAAGAAAGTCGCTAATGAGCAGCTTGACTACTTGCTTGGGAAGTTTGTTTTGGAAATTCTGAAGAAGAAAGAACCTGGAAGCGTGTAAGTGACGACGAAATTTTCCAAAGACTGAAAATTTTCTCAGAGTGAACACATAGTCTGCATGACCTATGGGATACTACTGTATTTTCTATAGCTGCAGAATAAATTTCTATATTTGTGTTAAAGGGAGAAATTTTCTCAGAATGTTTGGCGGGGTCAAAGGACGTGTATGATTTGCTTTAATTGCTCATTATAAATGGAAGGGATTTATTTGTATATTGCCCAGGGCAGCAGGGCAATATACAGATAAATACCGGGTATTTATATAGATATTGCCCTTGCATTTATAATTAGCAATTTATTCAATTCATCAGCCCCGCTCTTCCCTGCTACATTATCAAGCTCTCCCCGGACTTTCAGTAGTTAAATATTCATGAAGTATGTAAGTTAAATAAAGGATGTTGAATAACAAAAGAAAATGTGTGATTCATGAAATAAGTAGAAATACGCCCTTTACGTACTTAAACACAGGTGAACAAAATTTATAAAGCGACAAAATGTGTATAAAAACATTTTAAAGGGGCATTATCATTTGATTGAAATCACTCATTCTGAATACTTTAATCAACCTTGCAACTGTACCTTGTATATTTCTTTGAATGAATTGTCAACATTTCGAACACTTTTTAGAGTAAGGTTTATCAACTGACACAACTTTGCAAGCTTTCCAGTCAGAATTATCAAACTTTGTTCCTGTATTTGAACTTTAAAATAAATGATGTTACGCGATTTAAAACCTGTGTTTTTCCCTCTTGCGTTGGGCAATTAGTTAAAGTGAATAAGACTGGGGCGGTGATAAAAATTGTAGAATGGTCGGAACTGTTAAAAATCATTTTCAGTGTAATACTGCAACCTCACAAATAAGTCCCTGAAATGCAATGAAGTGCAATGCTGACCAGGAAACATATCGTGAGGTATCAATGGAGTGAAAAGGCGGTATCAGTTTTTTCAATATCATGCATGGAAATTGAAAGTATCGTCGAATTTAGTACAATAAACGTGTTGCAATTTTCGCGTATCAGGGAGTATTTCCACATGACATCAAAATTTATCAAGCAAAAATTAAAATGTCTATAAAAACATATGAAACCGGCAATGTCATTTGATTTATTTTGTGGGAAACACAACGCCTTGCCGCTTAAACTCCTGTTTTACTTCTTGGTTCATGTATCAGTTTTGCCCAATGGGCGAACGGCGTACGTGCCACAAAAGCATGCAGTTTTTTCTTTGCTTCTTTTGACGACGCAAAAATGCTGTCAGTCCTCGGGGTGGCGCTAAAACTTCAAAAGCCAGATGTTCGTAATTGTCCGTTTTATTCGTTTCTTTTTTTCGGGAGAACCTCTTTCTTTAACTTTGGAGCGGTTCTTCATTAATTAACAGTTGCTAGTTGTGCAGTTGTATAATATCGCCTTCTACGCTCCCAATAACTTTTCTAATGGTCCGTCCCCCAGATTTATTTACCACCCAACCTTTTACAATACGTGGCCTATGTTGTCACTTTTCGCAGTCATGGCAGACTTAAAATGAACACCTCAGTTTTATTAATCCTCAGTTAAGTAAGCCAAAGGAAATCGTGGTGATTTTTTTTTTATTCAAGAGTGTTTCACGTACCTCTAAATCTTAACATATTCAATCAAAAGCACATTATTGTCTGTGACTTACGCCCGTTCAAAAGAACAGTTCATGAGTCTTTTAAGTTAGACCTTTTCGATAATTTTCACTACTAAAAATACACTGAAAGTCATGACACATTTATTCACGCGTGTTCTACAAACCTCTAACTCTTAACATCTTCAACCAAAAGCACATTTTGCGACCTACGCCTGAGCAGAAGAACATTTTATAATTCTTTTAAGAGCTTGTCGGTAATTACTGCTAAAAATGAAACAGATAATCGGGTTGATAGCATAGTATGCGTTAGACATATCAGCGGTGACAGTGAAGTATAGCCAGAAACTACACGACAAATGCGTGGACCTGTCCTTATACGCTATGATTAAAACGTTGATAGAGAATGGTAACCAGCAAAATGCAAACACTGTTACGATAGCAATGGACATTTGAAGCACGTTTCTGTTTCTTCTTTTCCGCTGTTGCTGAGTGTTGGCGGACTGTTCACCTGGGTGTGCCTGTGTCTTGAGCTTCGTAATGATGATGGACTAAACAATAGCTAACAACAGCACAGGGATGTATATATGCAGAATGTCGTGAGCTAGTACGATACTGGCAGAGGACAATGATTCTCCGAATACTTTCTCCCATTTCATAACACACGAGGTTCCCCCTGGGGAATCAACGATATCGCCGGCGATCAAACATAGCGAAGAGATAGCTACAGCCACTATCCACGTGGCAAGAATGAAGAAGGGACTTAGTTTGGATCTGATGAGTGGAGAACGGAGTGGAAACACCACGGTCCCAAATCGATCCACCGCAATCAGAATTAGATTCTGTATCGAAACGAAAAGGGAAACGTTACCAAAGAAAAAGACAAGCTTACACAAGGCCTGGCCAAGCTGACCACCAATAAGTAAGGAGTTGGTGTGCACGAGTGACAGGTTCAAAGGCATCCAGAATATTGCAGACAGAATATCAGAAAAGGCCATGTTTGCAATGAAATAATTTATCGGTTTTTTTAAGTTCGGCGTTTTATAAACGATCGTAACGATGAGCGAATTTGCGACCAGTGAAACGATAAAGATCAGACAGTAGGTAACGGTTACTCCGATTTTTGACGCAGTGGAATATAACAAAGCGAAGCAGCTCGAAGACTCGCTGGATCCGTTCACCGTTGAGTTCATGGTTAGGTTTGCGACGTATCTGTGGAATTGTACGTATGCAGTCAAGTGACTTTGAACTACTGCTCTGTGTATTGCGTATCCTGTTTGATTCAAAACTTTTATTGGCAATTGTAAGCCCCCTGCGAAGCCTCAGCACAGCTGCTTAAAGCGAGTTTGTATAATGGTGTCAGTTATCAACTGACTTTAAGCCAACCAGAGTATTAAGAAATCGATGGAAAAGATAGGGCTTTTTTCATTAACGAAAAAGTTGTTTATTAATTGAGACAAATTTTCTGTCATCATTAGCGCAAAACAAATGATGCGGATGGTTTATTGCGCTTTTTTTAGAACTTTGTCTTTTTCCAAAAACGGAAACCTATTAATACAGAAAGTCTAGAATCTGGGAAATGAAAGAAGATAAATATACAAAAAGCCTTGCAAAGAATCAGGTCTATGCAACAGTTCATATGCGAGATATTCGGAAAAACGTTTTACCCAAATTTATAAAGCTTTGTACGGAGACGTCATGTTTGTGTCCCTTTCAAGGGCACAAATTATATTGCCGCCGGAAACCAACAGAAACATCTGTTTTTGAGTTTTCCTACTTATGCCTGAATTCTTCGCTTGAGGAACGCATAAAGATTAAAGTAACATTTATTTTAAGATAAGGAATGTTTAGATAGCAAAATTTCCAAAAATCAGTAATGTTTTTAACCCACATAAGAGCTTTCCCGGCCGCTAGTTAAATGACGCGTCACGCAAAAGCCTAGAAATTCAAGCGTCCTGTATCGCAAAACAAAGAACCCTTTTGAACCGAAAATTTGTTTGTATGAAGGTTTTAAGGGTGCTCTAATATCACACGAAAGTAGAAACTCAGAAGAAGCTATAGTTTCTTAGTTTGAATTATGGTGACGTCATGTGAAAACCGAGAATAGAAGTTAAAAAATATCCGCCCAAAAATGTTTGTTTTAGATGTTTCAACGGAAATGCCTAATTTGTCTGCTAATGCAGATAAGCCCATAACTGGAAATGTGCTTAAGGTCTCGGTAAAGGAAAACGAGGTGCCCACAGAAAAAATTCTAGTCGCGCGAGTATTTTCGCTACAAAGGCAAGTTATATATCAAATTAAAGCTAAATTACCTTATAAAATATTTTATTTCATCGAATTTCAAAAGGCGCTTAAGTTTTTTGCTCTCGAACTCAGAGGTATCGAGTTTACTGCTGAAGCTCCAGCCCTTTCGCGTTGTTAAATGTTCACTTCCTTTTTATTGCATCTGATTGACAGATAAAAGACCCAAAAAAGGGTGTGAGGAAATTTGCATATGTCTCGTATTGGCGGAATTATTGCATTTCAAACTAAAAAGTCGAATCTCGAGCGCGATTTACGCAAAGAAACTGACATAAAATGAGTTACAAAGGGAAATCGGAAAATTCCTCACACCCTTTTTGAGTCTATATCATTATCCATCATATCTGAAAGTTTCAAAGCGATAGCTTAAAACCTGTCCCGACTGGAGGTCGGAGAATTTTGATTTTTGCGTCTAAAAATAGAGTGAGAGAAAATCAGCTCTAAAGATTTAGCGCGAGGTCCACGCTTGGCTGGTTAGATCAGAAAAAGCTCATTTTAGAAGGGTTAAAAAGCACTTTCTGATTTTCTTTTTCTGCCAAAATAAAATTTAGGACCCACTCATGCCAAAATTCCAAAAAAAAAACAAAATCGAGCAATGTACTAAAATTTTCATTTACCGAGACCGTAAGTGCCAATTTAAAAATACGCATATACAATCATAAAATAACATTATTTAGCAGTTAAATACAGGAAGCAGGGGCGTAGCTGCCTTTAAGACATTAAGCCCAGGCTAAACAGGAATTGAAGGCAAAACCATAAATGCATGTTATCACGTATGCATAAAATATGCGGTTTTTATATCATTTACTTCTCGATCGAACTTAAAAGAGGAAGTTCTAAACAAACGTTCTTCCTTTAATAAAAAGGCAAGGTGTGTTTTTAATTGTTACAACCTTCAGTATTCTTTCTCTCGATAATGTTGGGGCATTTTTTTTCTTAACAATGACCAGAAAACCCACCGGCCTAACTCTTATCAACAATGCAACTATTAACCGTCATGACGTGCTGTACTCATCCCCAACAGAGTTTCGCAACCGTTGATAGGGTGCGTCTTGATCTCGTATGCCACTCGTTTAGCACCGAAGTCAAAGGATTTCTACCAACTTTCAACCGCGGCAGTGTTCGCTCAGTCGGTAAAGCGTGTGACTGCAGAGCGGGAGGTCGCGGGTTCCATTCTCGGGGCCGGACCAATACTCAGTGTCTTAAAATAACTGAGAAATGAAGGTACTACCTTTGTACTGCAAGCGGCTAGACTTTCGCGTGGCTCGGATGACCACGTAAAATGGCGGTCCCGTCTTCAGTAAGAGGCGTAAAAAATAGTATCCCCAATTAGCACTTCAGTACTAAATACATTGACACTCAAATAAAGCGCATTTTTTTCACATTCTAACCAATCAGGGTATCTTGTTTACTGGGGCATATCCTGCCGCCGATGCCCAGTTCTTTTCATTGGTGAAACTGAACGAAACCTCAGGAGTCGTTTTGGCGAACGTTTGTATACGCATGCGCAACAACACTCCTGAGCTTCCTGTGGCGCAAAATTTTAACTACCCGCCGGGGATGGCTCTATGCTGTGGAACCGACATCCAACCCAAGCAGCGTGAATTGAGGGTTTTCTTGCAGCTAGGAACCATTCAAACCTAAACGACTAAATATCAATTTCAGCTGCGCTCGCTATAATTTACACGTGCTCGCGCCTCATTTTTATGTCTATGACAATTGCCAAGAGGCGTAATAATAACGGTTTTCTTGATACTGAAGAAGCTAGAGTTATATAACCGAAACACCTGTTTCCTAAAAACATTTGACACTTCTTGACTTTTCAATGGAATATTATCCTATCCGCGACCCGTAAACCGGCTAGATGAGATGTATTAGTTTCAAAGATATATCCCGGTGTGGTTGTTAATGGACGACACTATTTGCAGTAATGAAAATATTGCTATGTCATAAATTATGACTTAGATTGGACGCAGTTTGCAGGTGCATGGCTCTTTGTTGGCCCCTGGCTGTTCAAAACCTTTTTAACTGTTTACTGACAAATTATCTGCCTTCCTTTTCCTATACACGAGTAACCTTAATGTCGACAATACAGTCAAACCTCTTTCATACGGACGCCAAAGGGACAGAACCAAGTGTCCGCTCTACAGAGGTGTCCGTATTATAGAGGTAGGGAATGAAGGATTTTTGGCATTTATGGGACCAAACGAACTATCCGTAATGGAGAAGTGTCCGTAAGGAGAGGTTCGACTGTACATTATTTCGACAGTGCTTAATTTACATGTGATCAAAAGCACTTTGCACTGGAAGACCTAATTTTGCTATTTACATGTT